GTTGAGCTCTGCGGAGGAAACCAGTCGACAGGTGATCGGCTGCGTGGAGGGATCAGCAGGAAATCAAGGGGAGGGGGAGTGGGGGGGGGGGTTAATGCGGGCAATCCCCCCTCTGCAAATCTTTCCACCTCACTCGCCACCTCAACTCTTTGGTTCCTGAACCCGTAGTTGTAAAAGACTAGTTGAGAAATGAACAAACGATTAATGAAATCAATTACTGTACACATTATATATATATATATATATATATATATATATATATATATAATATTATATATAGAGAAGAGAGAGAGAGAGAGAGAGAGAGAGAGAGAGAGAGAGAGAGAGAGAGAGAGAGAGAGAGAGAGAGAGAGAGAAAGCTATTAACTCTATTCATTGTTGCGTCCCTGCCTTTCCAGGTAAAACCTCTTCGATTTTCTACCCTTATATAATACCTTCTAAATCCACCGATTGTGACCCTAGCCAAAAAAAAAAAAGAAAAAAAGAAAAAAAAAACACACACGGTATATAAAATTGATTCAAATGATACTGACATTACGACCGCAGAGTAATACACTATTGGCCCAAACCGGAGGAGGAGTAGACCAGCCAAGCAATAATAACCTGAGGCGCCAGGAACTCAGTCCACGGCACTTTGGCATCTGGACGCTGTAGCAGGAATAAAGTTACAATTACATTAAGCTCTTTGTTTCTATGAAGTACAATAAACTACTCTCGATTTTCGTTTCGGTATCAGGCAGACCGAAAACACTATAATAAGACTCTCGCTCTCTCGCTCTTTCTTGCTCTCTTTGGCTCTCTTTCTCTCGCTCTTTCTTGCTCTCTTTGGCTCTCTTTCTCTAGCTCTTTCTTGGGCCTGTCAGAAGATCGATTTTTTCCAATTGCTGCCGTGACTTCATTTTCTGAGCATGAGGAAGAAGTTGAAGAAATAGGTAAAAATAGAGGGTAATTAATAGTTAAAAATAGAGGGTAATTAAAATGCACGATAATAGTTATCTATTTAATTATCACTTACTTTGTCTTTGAGGAAGAAAACCAAAAACATATGTAAGAATCTCTAGACAATACAGAACTGAACTTGCAAATACACACACTCACACGTACAGTGTGTCGTGCAGGGTGTATACAGTATACTGTTTGTCTGTGTGTGTGTCTCATGTATGTGTGTGTGTGTGTGTGTGTGTGTGTGTTGTGTGTACACACACACACACACACACACACACACACACATAACACACACGCACACACACCACACACACACACACACACAACACACACACACACACACACACACACACACACACACACATATATATATATATATTATATATAATATATATATATATATATATACTATATATATATATATATATACATATATACATATATACATCGTTTGATGATCATGACTGGCGATTGTGCTATCAAAGGTTATTATAAGATGATAATAATGTTGACGTGACGATGAAGACATGATGATACTAATGGTGATAATGATAGTAATCACAATGGTGATAGTAGGAGTAATGGTAATGGTAATTGTCATGATAATAATGATAGTCCTAACAGTAATGATAATGAAAATAGTTATAATAATGTAAATAAAGTAAATTTTTGTGATGCAATAATGATATCAATATGATGAGGATCATGATAATACCAACATAATGATAACAATAATGAGCAGTGATAACTGATAGAATTGATAATAAAAATAATAATTATAATTATTATTACTATGATTAGAGGATTATATTGAAGATGATGATAACTGTTATAACAATAATGATAATACCAATAGCAATAGTAATATCAAAGATAATGATAATACATAAAGTAATATTTTTTTCTAATAGACCAAGGTAATATGTACACTGATTTTGGCATATGACTTACACCTAACGTTTTTTCAGAGGTTACACACACGCGCACGAACACATATACAAAAAACACAGCAAAGCACAATTAACTTAATTACTTAATTAATTAATTAATTTACAGGTAGATCGACCTCTGATCAAAAGCAATCATGTTGGGGAATTACTTATGACTAAACTGTCATTTGTTGCTTTCAATAACAATAACAAAACTGTTTCTCTCTTTCTTCCTCTCTCTCTCTTCTCTATCTAATCTATCCTCTCCTACTCTCTCTCTCCCTCTCTCTCTCTCTCTCTCTCTCTCTCTCTCTCTCTCTCTCTCTCTCTCTCTCTCTCTCTCTCTCTCTCTCTCTCCTCCCCCCCTCCCCTCTCCCATCTCCCTCCCCTCTCCCTCTCCCTCTCCCTCTCCCTCTCCTCTCCTCTCTCTCTCCCTCTCTCTCTCTCTCTCTCTCTCTCTCTCTTCTCTCTCTCTCTTCTCTCTCTCTCTCTCTCGTCTCTCTCTCTCTCTCTCTCTCTCCTCTCTCTCTCTCTCCTCTCCTCTTCCCTCTCCTCTCCCCTCTCTCTCCTCTCTCTCCTTCTCTCTCTCTCTCCCTCCCCTCTTTCTCTCTTCTCTCTCCTCTCTC